GGGATTTTGGCCCACTCCTCCATACAGACCTTCTCCAGATCCTTCAGGTTTCGGGGCTGTCGCTGGGCAATACGGACTTTCAGCTCCCTCCAAAGATGTTCTATTGGGTTCAGGTCTGGAGACTGGCTAGGCCACTCCAGGATCTTGAGATGCTTGTTACGGAGACACTCCTTAGTTGCCCTGGCTGTGTGTTTCGGGTTGTTGTCATGCTGGAAGACCCAGCCACGACCCATCTTCAATGCTCTTACTGAGGGAAGGAGGTTGTTGGCCAAGATCTCGCGATACATGGCCCCATCCATCCTCCCCTCAATACGGTGCAGTCGTCCTGTCCCCTTTGCAGAAAAGCATCCCCAAAGAATTATGTTTCCACCTCCATGCTTTACAGTTGGGATGGTGTTCTTGGGGTTGTACTCATCCTTCTTCTTCCTCCAAACACGGCGAGTGGCGTTTACAAAGGTTTCTGTACCAAATATTAAGTTCTGCTTTTCTGATGTATCAAATACTTATGTCATGCAATAAAATGCAAATTAATTACTTAAAAATTATACAATGTTGAAATGTACCTATGATAAAAATGACAGACCTCTACATGCTTTGTAAGTAGGAAAACCTGCAAAATCGGCAGTGTATCAAATACTTGTTCTCCCCACTGTATATATATATATGTCCAAAAGTTTGGACACACCTACTCATTCCAGGGTTTTTATTTTATTTTACTATATTTTACATTGTAGAATAATAGTGAAGACATCAAAACTATTAAATAATACATATGGAATTATGTAGTAACCAAAAAAGTGTTCAACAAATCAAAACATAGTTTATGTTTGAGATTCTTCAAATAGCCACCCTTTGCCTTGATGACAGCTTTGCACATTCTTGGCATTCTCTCAACCAGCTTCATGAGGTAGTCACCTGGAATGCATTTCAATTAACAGGTGAGCCTTCTTAAAAGTTAATTTGTGGAATTTATTTCCTTCTTAATGTGTTTGAGCCAATCAGTTGTGTTGTGACAAGGTAGGCGGGGTATACAGAAGATAGCCCTATTTGGTAAAAGACCAAGTCCATATTATGGCAAGAACAGCTCAAATAAGCAAAGAGAAACGACAGTCCATCATTACTTTAAGACATGAAGGTCAGTTCATTAGAGTTACTAGCCTCAGAAATTGCAGCCCAAATAAATGCTTCACAGAGTTCAAGTAACAGACACATCTCAACATCAACTGTTCAGAGGAGACTGTGTGAATTAGGCCTTCATGGTCGAATTGCTGCAAAGAAACTTGCTTGTGCCAAGAAACACGAGCAATGGACATTAGACCGGTGGAAATGTGTCCTTTGGTCTGGAGTCCAAATTTGAGATTTTTGGTTCCAACCGCCGTGTCTTTGTGAGACGCGGTGTTGGTGAACGGATTATCTCTGCATGTGTATTTCCCACCGTGAAGCATGGAATAGAAGGTGTTATTGTGTGGGGTGCTTTGCTGGTGACACCGTCTGTGATTTATTTAGAATTCAAGGCACACTTCACCAGCATGGCTACCACAGCATTCTGCAGAGATACACCATCCCATCTGGTTTGGGTTTAGCGGGACTATCATTTGTTTTTCAACAGGACAATTACCCAACACACCTCCAGGCTGTGTAAGGGCTATTTGACCAAGAAGGAGAGTGATGGAGTGCTGCATCAGATGACCTGGCCTCCACAATCCCCCGACCTCAACCAAATTGAGATGGTTTGGGATGAGTCGGACCGCAGAGTGAAGGAAAAGCAGCCAACAAGTGCTCAGCATATGTGGGAACTCCTTCAAGAGTGTTGGAGAAGTATTCCAGGTGAAGCTGGTTGAGAGAATGCCAAGAGTGTGCAAAGTTGTCATCAAGGCAAAGGGTGGGTATTTGAAGAATCTAAAATCTAAAATATATTTTGATTTGTTTAACACTTTTTTGGTTACTACATGATTCCATATGTGTTATTTCATAGTTTTGATGTCTTCACCATTATTCTACAATGTAGAAAATAGCACCAAAAAAAAGAAAAACCCTTGAATGAGTATGTGTTCTAACATTCTTGACCGGTAGTGTATATACAGTGGGGGAAAAAAGTATTTAGTCAGCCACCAATTGTGCAAGTTCTTCCACTTAAAAAGAGAGAGGCCTGTAATTTTCATCATAGGTACACATCAACTATGACAGACAAAATGAGAAAAAAAAATCCAGAAAATCACATTGTAGGATTTTTAATGAATTTATTTGCAAATTATGGTGGAAAATAAGTATTTGGTCAATAACAAGTTTCTCAATACTTTGTTATATACCCTTTGTTGGCAATGACACAGGTCAAACGTTTTCTGTAAGTCTTCACAAGGTTTTCAAACACTGTTGCTGGTATTTTGGCCCATTCCTCCATGCAGATCTCCCCTAGAGCAGTGATGTTTTGGGGCTGTCGCTGGGCAACACGGACTTTCAACTCCCTCCAAAGATTTTCTATGGGGTTGAGATCTGGAGACTGGCTAGGCCACTCCAGGACCTTGAAATGCTTCTTACGAAGCCACTCCTTCGTTGCCCGGGCGGTGTGTTTGGGATCATTGTCATGCTGAAAGACCCAGCCACGTTTCATCTTCAATGCCCTTGCTGATGGAAGGAGGTTTTCACTCAAAATCTCACGATACATGGCCCCATTCATTGTTTCCTTTACACGGATCAGTCGTCCTGGTCCCTTTGCAGAAAAAAAGCCCCAAAGCATGATGTTTCCACCCCCATGCTTCACAGTAGGTATGGTGTTCTTCGGATGCAACTCAGCGTTCTTTGTCCTCCAAACACGACGAGTTGAGTTTTTACCAAAAAGTTATATTTTGGTTTCATCTGACCATATGACATTCTCCCAATCCTCTTCTGGATCATCCAAATGCACTTTAGCAAACTTCAGACGGGCCTGGACATGTACTGGCTTAAGCAGGGGAACACGTCTGGCACTGCAAAATTTGAGTCCCTGGCGGCGTAGTGTGTTACTGATGGTAGGCTTTGTTACTTTTGTCCCAGCTCTCTGCAGGTCATTCACTAGGTCCCCCCGTGTGGTTCTGGGATTTTTGCTCACCGTTCTTGTGATCATTTTGACCCCACGGGGTGAGATCTTGCGTGGAGCCCCAGATCGAGGGAGATTATCAGTGGTCTTGTATGTCTTCCATTTCCTAATAATTGCTCCCACAGTTGATTTCTTCAAACCAAGCTGCTTACCTATTGCAGATTCAGTCTTCCCAGCCTGGTGCAGGTCTACAATTTTGTTTCTGGTGTCCTTTGACAGCTCTTTGGTCTTGGCCATAGTGGAGTTTGGAGTGTGACTGTTTGAGGTTGTAGACATGTGTCTTTTATACTGATAACAAGTTCAAACAGGTGCCATTAATACAGGTAACGAGTGGAGGACAGAGGAGCCTCTTAAAGAAGAAGTTACAGGTCTGTGAGAGCCAGAAATCTTGCTTGTTTGTAGGTGACCAAATACTTATTTTCCACCATAATTTGCAAATAAATTCATAAAAAATCCTACAATGTGATTTTTTGAGATTTTTTTTTTCAATTTGTCTGTCATAGTTGACGTGTACCTATGATGAAAATTACAGGCCTCTCTCATCTTTTTAAGTGGGAGAACTTGCACAATTGGTGGCTGACTAAATACTTTTTTCCCCCACTGTATATATGTATTTGCAACAATCTATCTGCAATATTAAAGCTGATCTAGCACCAAAAAATTTTTAAAATAAAAGTGTTTGTCCCATGTTTCATGATCTGAAATAAAAGATCCCAGAACTGTTCCATATGCACAAAAAGCTTATTTATCTAAAATGTTGTGCACACATTTGTTTACATCCCTGTTAGTGAGCATTTCTCATTTGCCAAGATAATCCATCCACCTGACAGGTGTAGCATATCAAGAAGCTGATTAAACAGCATGATCATTACACAGGTGCACCTTGTGCTGGGGACAATAAAAGACCACTCTAAAATGTGCAGTTTTGTCACACAACACAATGCCACAGATGTCTCAAGTTTTGAGGGAGCATGCAATTGCTATGCTGACTGCAGGAATGTCCACTAGAGCTGTTGCCAGATAACGTAATGTTCATTTCTCTACCATATGCCGCCTCCAACGTCGTTTTAGAGAATTTGGCAGTACATCCAACCGGCCTCACAACTGCAGACCACGTGTACGGCGTCGTGTGGGCGAGCGGTTTGCTGATGTCAATGTTGTGAACGGAGTGCCCCATGATGGCGGTGGGGTTTTGGTATGGGCAGGCATAAGCTATGGACAAAGAACACAATTGCATTTTATCGATGGCATTTTGAATGCACAGAGATACCTTGACAAAATCCTGATGCCCATTGTTGTGCCATTCATCCGCCGCCATCACCTCACGTTTCAGAATAATAATGCACGGCCCCATGTCGCAAGGATCTGCACACAATTCCCGGAAGCTGAAAATGTCCCAGTTCTTCCATGGCCTGCATACTCACCAGACATGTCACCCATTGAGCATGTTTAGGATGCTCTGGATCGACATGTACAACATCGTGTTCCAGTTCCCACCAATATCCAGCAACTTCGCACACCCATTGGATAGGAGTGGGACAACATTACACAGGCCACAATCAACAGCCTGATCAACTCTATGTGTTGCGCTGTATGAGGCAAATGGTGGTCACACCAGATACTGACTGGTTTTCTGATCCATGCCCCTACCTTTTTTTAAAAGGAATCTTTGACCAACAGATGCATATCTGTATTCCCAGTCATGTGAAATCCATTTAGGGCCTAATTTATTTATTTCAATTGACTGATTTCCTTATATGAACTGTAACTCAGTAAAATCTTTGTAATTGTTGCATTTATATATTTGTTCTGTATATATGAATCAGACTGCACATTTATCCATCTCTCTGTGTGTGTGTGTGTGTGTGTGTGTGTTAGTCTCCAGGGTATAAGAACCACAACTCCCATGAACCAGTGCTTCAGTCACATGATGCTTTACTGATATATAGAGACAGACTGAGATGTTTGTTGTAACATGACAATTGTGGTCATCATATTGTACATCACGCTACACAGAAATACAGTTGAAGAACACACAATCCAAAAACAACAAAAACATTTGCTATTGCATTTTCTCGTGACCATCATTACAAATCCCATGTTGTGGACATGACTATTGGAACTACGTGAGCATGAAGTTCATGACTAGCACTGAAGTAGGGTAACATCTTATCACAGGGGGGTTTTAGTAAAAACTAAATAAGATTGGTTAAAGGGGTGGACAATAAACAGATGCATGATACATATTCATGTATAAGTAGGCCTACACACAGTGTGCAGGAGTCCCTTCAACCATTTTAGAACACAATAAGAACATCAACAACAGCACTGTAACACAAAAAACTCAAGTCATAGGCCTTACAAGTGGAGTGTGGCCTATATCTCAGACACATGGCCTGTTGTGTTGTGTTTCACAAACACTTGGTTGAGGCAAATCTAGGATGTTCCAATGTCATCAGTGTACGTGTGTGTGTGTCTGTGTATGCGTGTTTGTGCGTACGTGTTTCAGAGCGTTCCAAAATGTTTGGCTTCAGTGACTGGAGTGTGTTAGAGAGTGTTGCAACAGAGTGTTGCTGGGATACTGTTTATCTGTCCTTTGATTGGCCCACTGATATTTCCTGCTCTGTATCACAGGGTTGAGATGATTGACTCCCCTTTTTCGAACTATCCGCTTCGCTCTCCAAATGACCCCCCTTTCCTTCCATATAATCCCTGACTCTCCCTGCCCCTCCCTTGTTTCCCTCTATCCATTCCCTCTCTCTTTCCACTCCTTCACCATTTCCAGTCCCCTCCTCCTCTCCACCACTGGCGGGGATCTCAGTAGTGATGTCATTGTCGTAGTCTGTTATCAGGAATGTGGGCTGTATGTGAGAATAGAGTCTCACCAGCTCTTCATCATCATCATCACTGGTCCTGATGGCCTCTTCATCCCCCAGGAAGCAGTCATCATCACCAATGGAGGCTGTCTCAGGGCTGTGTGTGGAGGGTCTGCGCTCCTCAGGGTACCCTGGTGGTCCTACCTGCTCTGGGCAGGTGATGGTCAGTACAGGGGTATGTGTTTGCCCTGGTGTGGGTTTAGGTGGGGGTGTCCCTACCCTGTCCTGCTCTGGACAGGGTGGAGTAAGTAAAGGTGTGTGAGTATATCCTGTACACTCAGGATTGTGTATCGGGTCTGGAGTAGGTGAGCGAGGGAGAGGTGTGGTAGGTGAGGTAGGAGGGGGTGTGGGGTGAGGGGGTGAGTTGATCGGAGTGGGAGGAGGTAAAGGTGTGTGTACCTGCTGTTGGGTAGGTGAGGTAGAAGGGGGTGTGTCTTTAGGTGTCTCTTCTACCTGAGTGGGTATACCTATTGCTTCTGCAATAGGGGAGGGGTGCGTAGGTAAAGGTGAGTCTATCTGATCATGGGTAGGTGTAGGTGAGGGGTGTGGGGTGGTGCTAGAGCTGGAATAGCCCAGGAGTTGAGTGGATGTCTTGAGTAGTTCAGGTGTGATGGTTGTAGCAGGTGTATGGGTGGAGTTGTGTGAAGCAGGGCCATGATTAGGGTCTGTAGGAGTGGAGCTGGGTAGTCTAGGCTGGATGTAGGTCGTTGAGGGTGTAGCTATGGGTAAAGCGTTGAGTGGAGAAGGGTCAGAGTCTGCAGGGGTGTAGATGCTCTGACTGCCCAGTAGCTTTGTGGAGGTGCTCAGACCCTCCTTTTTTAACTTCACCTCATCCAGGACCGGCATGGAGCTACTGTGACTCACCTGGGGAGAAAAGACACGCACATCAAAATGGCTGACTGACTGTCTCACTGCTACACTATGTGATGTTAGCTTACTTGCTCCTGTATCTATTAACAACTCACCAGTTGGAAAGGTCACACACACACACACACACACACACACACACACACGCAACTGAGAAGAGTAGAGACTCACCAGTTGGAACCATTGTAATCTCTAGACCAGCAGGGGAGAGGAGACAGAGAGACACACGGGTCAGAGCACAGGACCAGAATGTCTAAATGTTTGAGGTTAAAAGTTAAAAGGGGTTAGGGTGAAGTGTCAGTGTATCTCACCACATTGGGGTGTTTCCCCTGGGCTATACAGCCCCTGTCCTCTGGGTCCTTCAGTCCTCTGTATGTCCGGAGGACATGCTGCAGTGCATACAGAGCACAGCCTAACAGAGTCAGCCCCAGGATGACCACACCCATAGCCTTGCCTACTGCACAGCTACCATGGAGACGCCCATTCCCCAATGGGCCCTGAGGGACTGCACACACATATGCACACACACACACACACACACACACACACACACACACACACACACACACACACACACACACACACACACACACACACACACACACACACACACACTGATGATGATGAACTGTAGAGCAAGTTCGACCACACAGATTCTGATTTTGTGTGTGTGTGTGTGTGTGTCTGTGTTACCTATTTGTCCTTCATACAGCACCTCCACCTTTATGAGAGCCGTGGCCATGTCACCTGACTCCAGATCCACAGCCACTACCTGCAGGATATCATCATCATCATCATCAGCTTCACCAATGCAGCTTGTCCATCATTACGTTGTTCTCTGGTATACTGTTATGTCCAATCAAAGCCCACCTTCAGACGGTGTTTCTGTGATGGCCGTAGCTGATTGGTCCTGGCGATCAGAAGCCCCTCCTGTGTGATGTGGTAGAACTGTGTGTGATTGGACGAGGACCTCAGGGAGTAGTGCATCTTGGGATTGATCCCCTACCAATTGAGAGAAGAGAGAGTTGAAGTTACAGAATAATACACTATGCATAGTCTAGCTGTGTGTATGAGCATGTGTGTGTGTGTGTGCATACATCAGAGAAGTCCCTGTCCTGTATCTGTAGCAGCAGCACAATGTTTCCGTATGTGTTGACCAGTGAGGCAGGGCTGTTGCCTTCGGTGACAAAGCCACGGTATTCGGCCCGACCAAACTGGGGAGGAAAGCGGTTGACAGCCACAACACGGACCACCACCGTGGCAACTGAGTACTTCCTAGGGTCATTCCTCTGGTACGCCTGAGGAGGGGGAGAGAGATTTCAGTTATTAAGAGTCTCTGTAGTCATGTTTATGTCTGCATAAGTGTGCGTGTGTGTGTTACAGGAGGGGGTCGCAGTTCCGGAGCGACCCACTAGGTGTCATCCTCTGACAACCTTAGGCACCTCCTCACTCACAGTCGGGACTAATCATCATCCTATTGGTGTCACCTGTGTCTATCGGTTCACCTGTGTATTTATGCCCTCACTTCCCTGTGTTCCCTTGCTCAGTTTTCTCTGCTAGTTTCTCTATGTCCAGCAGTACTACTCAGTGTCTAATCAGAGATCTATGTACAGGTACTTGAAAAGTGTTCTTCCAGTTTCGTTATTTGTTTCAGTCTTAGGTAGTATTTCGTATTTTGGCTGTCAGACGGTTTTTGGAGACTTATTTGCTCCGCCTTTCCTTTGTCGTGATAAGCTCGTTATTTTGTATTTTGGCTTCGGGACCACCAGTAAAGATCCTTGTTTCACCATCTCTGCCTACTGTATATCCTGCACCGCACCTGGGTCACACCTCACCCCAACCCTTACATGTGTGTGCCTGTGTGTCTCACCATGACCCGTAGGCGTAGTGTCGGTGTCTGTAGTCTGTTCTCTACTCCTTTCATCAGACGCACCTCCCCTGTCAGCTCATCCATCACGAAACGCCCATTATCAGCCCCTGACAACATATATTATCAACAGTGTTGGTGAGTAGTGAACTACATGTAGTTCAACTAGTAATATAACTACATTTTGCAGTAGCTTGGTGGTAGTTGAACTAAATTCAAATCTAGGTAGTGTTTTCAGTACTTAATTACATTTTTTGCCATGTAGCAGCGTAACTAACTACTGGAATTACATTTGGGTGAAGTTGGCAATCATTTCCATTCATTTTCGGCATCAGACCTGCCTAATTCTTACTTCCAACATAATTTTTGTGTTTAATAGGCTAAATTGCACATTCTGTTAAGATATGACCCCAAAGTGATCTGTCCTTGCAATTTGTAGTCTGTGACATTACAGATGATAATTTTTCATCAAGTAGTTTGGATGTAGTGAACTACTTTTCAAAGTAACTTTAGTTAAGTAAACTATATTTTTCTTTAGAGTAGCTTTAGTGTAGCTTAACTTCTTCCAGTGTGAAGTAATTGGTAGCTTGGTAAACTATACTTTCAGTGATTATCAACTCCTAATACTACGTTGCATTTCATTGTAAAGCTAAACAATGGTGGTTTGTGTGAGTGTGTGTGTGTTGTACCTGACAGGATGCTATAGCTGAGAGGTGAGCTGAGGCTTCTGTCTCCATCCACAGCATTGATCGGCCCGGGAGAGAAGTCCAGAAGAACGTCCTATAACAGAGATGACATTAACACAATACGTCAGTCCCTAACCACTAACCCCTAACACCTACCACCAACACCTAACCCTAACCCTGGTCACTAACCTGTTCGCCTTCTGTGATGTTAACCGTGTAGACGGGGTTGGTGCAGACACGATTCGATTGGTCGCTAGAGAGGGGCGTGCACGGCAGGAATTGTGGGTACTGGTCATCTCCATCCAAGATATTCACGGTCAGGATGGCACTGGTGTTGAACTTCTCCACAGTGTTCATCTCCTACACACACACACACACACACACACACACACACACACACACACACACACACACACACACACACACACACACACACACACACACAGACTGTATATCAGACTGAGATATTAGTTCCAGTCATGCAATCTGATTGGTTAAATTATAAACTGGGTGGTTCGAGACCTGAATACTGATTGGCTGAAAGCCGTGGTATATCAGACAATATACCAATTATGTTGGTAATCAGTTTATAATAGCAATAAGGCACCTCAGGGGTTTGTGATATATGGCCAATATACCACGGCTAAGGGCTGTGTGCTAGCACTCCGCGTTGCGTCGTGCATAAGAACAGCCCTTAGCCGTGGTATATTGGCCATATACCACACCCCCTCGGGCCTTATTGCTTAAATATATCAAGCAGATGGTAGGCGCAGCCAAGTTCTTTCAGTAACTGTAGGCTAGGTGTATTTAGTGTACCGAAGCATATATGGTGATCTTCAGTTGTGTTTTGGTCTCGTAGTCCAGAGGCTTGGCCAGTATCACCTCTCCACTGTTAGGGAGATCCACTCTGAAGTAGGCAGCATCAGGCTGGAACAGAGACCCCACACAAATACTGTACACACTAATTTCAATGCAGAACTTTATTGATACAGTAAGAAAATCTGGTATTTATTTATGTATAAAACTTTATTGATACAGTACCGAGGTCTGGTCGATGGAGTACATTATGGTGTCGTCATCTGCATCTGTGGCCTGGACTGTAAACACCACTGTATTCACCTCCGCCAGCTAGACATGGACATCATGCAATAATCGGCTTCAGTTTGTGTGAGAGTGTGTGTGTGTGAGAGTGTGTGTGTGTGACAGTGTGTGTGTGTGTGTGTGTGTGTGTGTGTGTCTGTGTGTGTGTGTGTGTGTGTGTGTGTGTGTGTGTGTGTGTGTGTCTGTGTGTGTGAGTATGTATGTAGTGTAGGCTACTTACCTCACTGATGCTGTGAGGCTGTATGGTGCTCTCCACAAAATCAGGAGTGTTATCATTCTCATTCAGAATCTCCACCATGATCCTGTACTCACTCTGAAACACACACACACACACATTTAGAAGTTTTGGATCCATGGTAAAATCACTTTGGTACAAAGGACAAATATATTTTCAGAAATGTACAGTCTCTACCTGCACAGCGTCCTCCTCATAGCAGGTCAACGCTGCCATAAGGACTGGGCCCTGCATCTGAGACACACACAGACACACACACACAATATATATATAATGCTTCATATCTGCACATGACTGTGTTGTTTGTTGTTGTTTGAGTCAACTAAACCAAGACAGAACCCTGTAATCATTGTGACGAAGTTGTGCTATCGTTTTTACCTCCCGGTCCAGAACTCTGTCCAATGGGGCATTGAGTCTGATGCTCCGCCTTTCTAGGAAGAACCAATCAGCGTCCTCCCCAGTGAGGCTCCAGACAACATCATTGGCTGTCAGCTCTGTGTTGAGCTCAGCGATGAGTTCTCCTGTCATGCTGTTCTCTTTGACCGTGGAAAACACATCCTGGCCCTCCAGACATGGGTTCCCTGACAATCAGACAAGCCTATGATTAGCAGACTAGCCAATCAGACAAACAGCTAGTCTTACTGTGGTCCGACACATAACAAAAAATACATTACAGACAAAATACTTTACAATTTACATACATTTAAAAACATTAACATGTAGTGTGTGTGTGTGTGTGTGTGTGTGTGTGTGTGTGTGTGTGTGTGTGCGCATCTATCAGTTACATATACATGTCAGTACATACACACAACAAGTAGGTCATATGAGGGAGAGGCGTTGTGCCGTGAGGTGTTGCTTTATTTGTTTTTTGAAACCAGGTGTTATAATTACTTTTGAGACAATATTCTTAATGTTTGTAAACTCCTAAACTGCATGTATTTTTTATTTTATTTCACCTTTCTTTAACCAGGTAAGCCAGTTGAGAACAAGTTCTCATTTACAACTGCGACCTGGCCAAGATAAAGCAAAGCAGTGCGATAAAAACACAGAGTTACATATGGAATAAACAAAACGTACAGTCAATAACACAATAGAAAATCTCTATACAGTGTGTGCAAATGTAGTAAGTTATGGATGTAAGGCAATAAATAGGCCATAGTGCAAAATAATTACAATTTAGTATTAACACTGGAGCGATAGATGTGCAGAAGATGATGTGCAAATAGAGATACTGGGGTGCAAATGAGCAAAATAAATAACAATGTAAATAACAATATGGGGATGAGGTAGTTGGGTGGGCTAATTACAGATGGGCTGTGTACAGGTGCAGTGATCGGTAAGCTGCTCTGACAACTGATGCTTAAAGTTAGTGAGGGGGATAAGTGTCTCTGTAGGAGAGAGGACAAGGACACGCCATGTGTTATAGAGGTCACTGGTGAGGGACAGAAGGTCTGCGTGCCAAGATAGATTGGGGGCCACTTGTGATAATCTTAGAAGGTGTACGTGATGGAATGGCCTGGCTGGGGTGACATACAATACCAATTATGGGGATGCTATTGTGGTAGATGAGTGACACTCAATGATGGTTGGCAGATAATATCAAGAAGCAGCTCGGAGAGCATTATATAAACGGAGAGATTTTCTATGGAAGTCATTCATATGGCAAGAGGCTACATCCGTACCGCCTGTCATTGAATCTATTATTGTAACCATTAAATAATGACTGAATCAAATCTCCATCTGTGTCCCATATTCTCTTGCATCCTGAACTTCTCGATATCAGAAACTCATCATAACAGATTGGCATCTGAACGAACAGGATGCAGTTTACAGCCGAACTAACAGGTAAGAAGACTTATTTTGGGGGGGATTATGTCAAATTCTGCTTATCTGTGGTAAAACTGAGCTGTAACAAATGTTTAAAATTCAAATATTTTTTTAAGGGAACAGATTAGTTGTATTCGAGTACGTAAATAGCTGTAAGGAGAATGATCAAATTGGGTGTGTTAAGAGTAAAGAGTACAAATACAAAAGAGAATAAAGGAGTGGGTGTAGGACTTGAAGAGATAGGTTAAGGACCTCTGATGTGTTGTATCATCATAAAATAGGATCTCTGATGTGTTGTATCATCATAAAATAGGATCTCTGATGTGTTGTATCATCATAAAATAGGATCTCTGATGTGTTGTATCATCATAAAATAGGATTTCTGATGTGTTGTATCATTATGAAATCAGTTCTCTGATGTGTCGTATCATCATAAAATCTCTGATGTGTTGCATCATCATAAAATAAGTTATCTGATGTGTTGCATCATCATTAGGTTTGAATAGCTTGGTAAGGAGAGAATAACTTCTTTGTGAAATGCTCAGAGCGATAATGTTGAATCATGGCACCAATGACAAAATAGGCAAACGAAATTTTGATAAAGATCAAGTTGGGGATTTGATTCAAGTATTTGATTACTAATATTGCATGAACTAATAAAAGTAATGGATGGCCAGCTTAGTAGACCGGTATCTGGAAAAACAGTCACCATTAAGAGTAAATCTCGAAGAGAGAGAAAGGAAATGACGAAATTATTACAGGCAAATCCGCATTTAGAACAAGTCTCTTTTAAAAGTAGTGAAAATCAGACAATGTGCAAATGGATGTTAAGTAAATTAGGATTTTTCTATGTGGAACTATATCTTAGTGATTTATCAGCATGGACAGATAATGACTATCCTCAAGATGGTAGTTTTAAAAGGGATAAATTACAAGTAGAGCGAAAGTATATAAGTGATAATACAGCCATAAGCAACCCGAAATGGGATTTAGATTATATGAAAGAGGTGTATAAAGCATGGGATTTAATGAGTGCACAATGGCTGGTAAATATAATTAGGAAGGAGGAAAAATCAGTTAGGACATTACATAATTTGGCAATGGAGCAACATAATCTACCTTATGAAAATTATATTTACAATAATCAAACAAAACTCAGATTTAAACAACAGATTAGCAAATACAATTTTGGAATTTTTCATTGAAGCAGGGGAACGCTAATAATCGATGGAGATAGAGAGAGGGAAATTGGACTCCTGCCCAACCGCACCCTAATTCCCAGAATAAACCTAGAGAGGAGAAGCCGGGTAATCTATTATGGGGATAATGACATACAACACCGATAGGCAGGGAGGAGGTTAAATACATGATCAATGCACCATAATTGCATATTTTGGATAGCCCATTAGAAATACCACAGTTAAGTTTATGTGTATCTGGTGAAATAATTCCATTTTTAAGGCAACAAGATTGAAGGTGTCCTTTAAGTAATCAGAAAGTCCAGTCTATCGGAATTAATGGAACTACGCAAATTGATCATATATCTCTCCCATTACAAATTGATTTGGAGGATATGAATTATCAACATTCATTTATAGTAAGCGCTGCAACTACTATGGCGTTGATGGGAAGAGACCTTTTAAGTAAACTCGATGCAACCATTTTTGTTAACCAGATGGCATCGAGGTATATGGAACAACATAGGCTATTTTATGAACAAAGAGCAGAAAGTAATTTTAATCTGAAAGGGTGCATAATAAATTATATGAATGTGTATGATAGGTTGATATAAGTTTGGATAATAAGCTTTGATATAACATTATATTGTGGTTCCATACATCAATGCCCATCATAAGATATCAAGGAGTGGTATGGAGAACGTGGGTTATGTTAGAGTGTAGTGGAGAAGTATATGTTTTAATGAGAGGCTTGACTTTGAAGGGGTTTCCTGAAGGTTAGAGAACTGGTGAGGGTCCAATGACAGGAAGGTCAGTGTCCTTGAAACTACAGTCTGGTTTTTTTTGGTTCCGCTGGGAGTATGTTTGAAGAAGTTGATTTGTGTTGAGTGAGGATCGTTAAACAAAACACAAAGGGATTGTTTGATGTGAGTACCTAGGTGTTTCTAAAGTTCTATATGGAGTATGTGAAGATGTGAAAATAGGATGAAGTTTATGTGGGTAATCGATTACTAGAGAGGTAATTAGAGGAATATGTATGTATTAACTTGCTCACCCAAACGTAGACATACATCAGGGGTGGGAAATAATAAATAAAGGTTTTCTGAGTTTGTTCCGGTGATGGATCATTTGATAGAGATAAGGGTTAAGAAATGAACTGCCCATAAGGACTGGAATTTATAGACGTAACTTATAACATAGTACAAAGCCAATTTGGGGTTTCTATTAAACTAATTATCATTGTGGAGGTAAGGTGATGTAGTGAAGGAATTTCGTTTTGTATCGGATGGTGAGAAGATAAGCCAGTGTAATTGGGCTATTTGTGGGATTTCTTTGTCATTTCAATGGCATAGAGTACAATCTGGGTTTCTGAGTGTAATTCTACTGTTGGTATGTGTTGCTTAGACAGATACTACAAAGTATTTATTTTTGGTGATGTCGAATGGAAGATCTATCAGCGTGCTTGGTTCAAATTGAATGACCATTATTTAACAGGAATAGCGAGACGATTTCGAGGTAATTTTTTGCATTGCCTAAGGGTTTGCTAGATTAAACGATTGAGAATGGTGGCGTAATGTCTAGCAATAAATTGGATATTGATAATATGGATATAAATTCAATATATGCGTTGAGATTGGTGACGTAACTTGCTCTGCGACCTTGAAGAAGTTGTTTGACTTGCTCTGCAAGGTCACGCCTTTTGTTGAATGACGAGTAATGGTGCTTCGAGGGTGACTGTTGTTAATGTGTGCAGAGGGTCCCTGGTTCAAGCCCATGTAGGGAAGGAAGCAAAACTGTTACATTGATGCTGTTGACCTGAATCACTGGTTGAATTGATAAGATTATACGAAAGAGATTGTCTTACCAAACCATGGCGGATAGGATAACATAGTAAATAAAGTGGCATCTCTGTGAATAGAGGTTTTATGTGTTTTGACTATAACTAAAAAATAATTTGTGTCCTGCTAAAGTACCGTTAGATGGAAAGACAGCGGGTGAAAGAGAGTCATGCTTGCTGGTTAATAGCGGGATGTAAAGGACGCAGAGTGTAATGTGGAGCCGATATCTAAATAGGTGAATAGGAAACGTTCTTTGACAATTTGTAATTATTATGTTTAAACACCAGTGAGTTATGTAGACGGTTAATTCATTCTAAAAACGATAATCTGTTTCTGGTACGTTGAACAATGGGAGGTAGTTTTTACTGTTTTTTTTTTAAATATATATCAATGCAACAAGTGGAGATGATTACATTACCAAAAAGGGGTTATAGGTTTATATTAGAAGATGTAGTCAACTCAATGAAACGTGTTATGTTAAGGAAGATGTAGGAGATCACGTCTCAAACAACTCTTTAATAGACGCTTGCAATATAATTGATTCTTTACGCGTAGTAAGTGATTATATTTGTGAATGTCTCAAATATTACGTTTAGAGGGGTGACAGGAACAATCTAAGGGGTAAATCATCCAGTAACGATACCATGATGATTTGATATGGGATAAAATGAAGCTGATTTTGGAGGTGATAATCATTGTGAGACTTAAAAGGAATGAGGTATAAAGAGTAATCATTAA